AAAAATAGAAATATTATCGTTTTCTCAAAATCACATAAAAAATCGTATTATATCGACAAAATACAAAACAATAAAATCGTTGTGTATCTCGTTGCATTGAGGGAATATCTTTCTAGTTTTTTAAAAAAATGGGTAAATTGTATGAAAAAATAACGTACTTTAACTTGATTTATATTTTGGGTAACGTACTTTTAAAACTTCTATTTTGGTAACTAAGATGTAAAGTACTATCACTCGTCACATCAACATGGTAACCGGTTAATGTTTCAACCGGTTACCCGAATACTTCAATGTTAAATTTTTTACGATTTAGATAACAAAATGAAAGTTTTGAAACTACATCATCCAAAATAAGAATCAAATTATACTATGTTAATTTTTCATGCAATTTTTCATTTTTAAAAACAACTTATTCAAAAATTGAATTTTTTTGGCTAAAAAGCAGTTTTTGTGATTTTTTTCTCCATTTTTTAGATAAAAAAGGAAAAGTCCAAACTCCTGAAAATTTACATTAATTGGTCTACAGGAGTTACTTTATCTTGAACTTTAAATGTTATTACATCTGGTTATATGACTAACTAATATATTTAATACGACAGCGACAATTTTAAACATTTAAACAAAACTCTCTAAGCTCGAAGACGGGTTTTAAAAAAGGCACATTTTTTTAAATAAATCATCGAGTGAATCGGAAGAACATAAAAAATTACCGCGGTAACATTTTTGCATTCTTCACTTTCTCCGTCTTGATTTATATTATTTAATTTCTAATAGAGTATCTTTCATTACAAGTAGTGTTAAACCAGACAAAACTAATATAACAAACAACATTATTCAATTTAAATGCATGTAATCATCAGTTAATAAATTTGGTTGACTAAAATCAGTTATATGTTATTAATGAAATTTAATATTATTATATTTATTGGTAAGTGTCTTCATCTAAATCATGCTTATTAATTTTAACTAAATAATCTAATCTATGCTTTTTATTTTCAAATAAATGATTTTTTTTTTTTGAAATAAATATTTTCTATTCTTTTTATTGATTGGAATCTCATGTGTCGTGATATCATATCGGTCGGATATACCCCCACAATAGACCATGGTTTTCATTACATTTATGAGTTTAATTTAAAAAAATTAATTAATTTAATAATTAACTTTAGTTAGTACACGAATATTGTTGTTTAGAAGTTGCTATCCAACAAAATTTTGCCAAAAATATTTAATATTAATTAGTGGATTTAATAACTTGAATTTTTGTTATTTTGCTCTAAAATTTAATTACCAAAAATAATAGTCAAAAGATTCATTCACATGCCAAACCCAGAGTGGAGGCTTTGACTATAAAACCTTCGAAAGTTGGGGGGTCTAAAACTAAATATACGATTTTTGTTTCTAAAGAAATTTTCACTTAGGCCCCTCAAAGATGACATATACACATTTATAAAAGATCCTGAGAAGTGAAGTTAAAGTGAGAAGCATAAGAATTAATATGAACCATTGATCACTTTTAATTTCATACTCATTCATGAATTGCATTTGATACAAGGATTGACCAGGTGCATCTCAGTTATATACCTATATATCTCCATCTATCTGAAACACTCTCAAGAGTCACATGGTCATCATATATACGAGACAGATGGATGGTGTCTAGATTTGAACATAAAACTTGACTTTTAAAGAATTATAATCACGTTTAATATTCAAATCCCTGTATAAGTATTTGTTACATCTGTTAAAATATTTTAAAATTAACTTGTATTTTATATATTTGTTTATAGAAGAAGTTAATAAGTTAGATATAGGAGAACCCCATGAACATCATTTTCATTGTTGACCCACGGGTATCATTTACGTGGGAGTGGTTCATAGTTTATACTTTAAAATCTTGTATTTTTTATAAAATTAAACAAAGCATAATAAATATAAATAAT